AAGTTTATAAACCTTCTAAGAATTCTTCTACCAAAACATTACAAAATTAACCTACTTTTATGTACTTTAACCCAATTCTTCCTATCTTTCTAAATACAAATATCAATATTAATGATCAAGACACCACCTTTGGTTTTAAAAATTTGGTTCATGAAAAATAATTTATTTGAGTTATTATAATCTTATAATCTAATCTAGTCTTTTTATTAAAAATTTTTGGTACTTAAAATATATTTTTTTTCTAAAACTTATGATATTTGAAATGATAAATTTTATATATATATATATATATATATATATATATTTTATAATAAAATATTATATTCTATATTTATGATAGTCCAATTTAATAAATTATTAGTTTTAATATACTATAAATGTTTGATTTAATAGAAGTCTATCCTTTGTAAGTATATGATAATATTCTTAGAAATGGTGGTATTAATCACCAAAAATCTTCATTCAATTGAAAGAAGGCAGTTTAATATAGTATAAAAGTTATTAAAGAGAATATATTTGAATTTTTTTAATTTAAAGCCTCGATGTCTAATAATTTTTTTCCCATACCTAAAAGCTCGTTGTGTATTTTAAAAAACTTTTTATTAAGTAGTAACAATCAAGAGTCTATTTAGAAGTACTTTAGAATATTTTAGTTTGTTGAAATCCACATCTAATAATCTTGAAGAGAAAAGAATTACTTGATATAGAATTTTTTAGCATCTAACAAATGGTTGATGTATTATAAGTTGTTTCAAAGTGAATGACATTGAGGCTTTTTTTTTTTTTTTTTTTTTTTTTTTTGTATGCATTGACTTATTAATTGTCAAGATATTATTACTTTGGCATTTAATTTTTTATTTTTATTTTTATTTTTATTTTTTTTTCCAAAAAAACTCTTAAATAAGTTTTTTTTTTTTTTTTTTTTTTTTTTTTTTATTTCTTTTCATGGTTTTAAGAGAGCCATTCTAACTACAAAAAAAATATGGTAGAAGCTAACATAATATAGTTAACTACCAATATTTGAGTTTTTCAGGCTCTTTGTATCAAAAAGTAATTAATTTTGAAAGAGGCAAATTCAAAGCCAAAATAAATGCTTAAAAGGATATTTAAATTACTTTTAATTGACATTGTTTATTGCTACTAATTGATCCAATTTAATTGAAGTTATCTAAAGTACTAGACTACTATAGATTTAATTTAAGTAATTTTTAGGTATACATTATTTTTAAAGGTGTTAATAATATATATATATATATATATATATATATATATCTTATGTAAAATTATATTTCATATTAATTAAAAAGATTCTTGAATTGTTAGCATCTTAGTTGATAAAACATTAAATCCATTATTTTTATTTAAAAAAACTTTGAGATAGTATTTTAAAATATATTATTTTTAGATTAAAATTGAATATCATGCCAATAATAAAGAAAATATAGAAAGCTAGGATATAACATTGGTATATACCTCTTTGAATAGGAAATTATTTAGAAATAATTTGTTGATTATGACTTATACTTTTGTACTTTTAAATAATAATTTGATAGTTATAATGAAGTAAGAGCCAACATTTAGAACTTTCAAGGATTAAAATAGAAAATCTTAATTATTAGAATCAAGTACTTTGATCAAATAAAAAATAATAATATATTTTTAATTTCTTTATAGATTCTTATTTCTTATTTTTATAGATATGACTATTAATTTGTCTTAGTATTGATTTTGGAAAACTTTCCTTGCCATAGAATTAATAATGAATTAATAATGATATTCTTTAATAATATCTTATAATTTTTAAAAAATTTGATGTCTATTCTATCGTGCTTAGGATTTTGATTCAAAGCTAAAACTTTAATAGTATCAAATATGTTTTCAAGAAAAGAATTTGTTTCTAAGAAACCAAGTGCATCAATTTTTTAAGGTATGCTATCATAATTGAGGTAGGATATCCTATTAGAGTGGTGATGTTTTTTGTTTTTTGATTTTTTTATAGTTGGATAAAAGAATATTTAATTAATTTAATTTTTTTTTGATAAATCATGAAAGAACTTAAATATTTTATTTTTTATTATCTTAATTTTAGATTTTTTTTCAAATCTCAACAAATTAGTCAATAATAAGATTTTCTTTTTGACTAATTTTTTTCAAAGTTCAAAAAATTAGTCATCAATAATCTTATTTCTTCTTATTATTAACTAATTTTGATCTGGAATAGTTTTTATAAAATTTTAATGACTTTTAAAGAAATTAGTGGTAAATGTGGCTTTAGGTTTCTTCTCTATATATATTAGATGGCCAACTAAATCTCTGTTTTTTTTTTTTTTTAGTACTTAAAATTTAATATATATTTTGTGAAAAAAAAATTTAATGTGTCTTAATAGTTGGATGAAGAATATAGCTAGAAGATGGTCAAAAAATGAGATGTATCTATTTATTTAATAGTCTTTGATAGTGGCTAGTCGAAAGACTTGTAATATAGTATAGAACATATCTAATTTAGTAGATGAATTTCTAAGCACTTAGTGTAATTGTCTACTTTAAATGCTATTACAATTAGTAAGCCATATCTGCAAGAATATGTATTTGGAAGTACCTTGTCATGTGTCTCTTTGAAAGAATTGAGACAAATATTCCATTTTTTTTTTTTTTTTAAAATCTATTATCACTATTTGTAAAATACATGCAAAGTCAATCTAAGATATGTTGTAGTTATTAGAATTCAAAGCATGAAACATATGATTGTGGATAATTGTTGATTTATTTCATGATATAAATAGATCTTAATAACACAGTTCTACATGCTTCAACATAGTTATATGTGTTAGTTTCCATTGACAAGCTCAGTACTAAGTTCTTTGGATTACATGGACTTGGGTTGTTTCCACCACCTTCCTTGCATGATTTTAATCATAAACTATATGATAGAATAACATCATCAATGCTACTATGAATAATGTTTGGTTATATACAAGCCTATTTAAACTAGAGTTTTTTTTTGAAATATCTAATTTACCTTATTTTAGGATCACAACTAGGTTTTATTTTAAGTAAATTAAGAATGGATGAAATTCATCTATAGAATTTTTTAAAATATCATCTTCATCAAATTTGACAAATTTTATCAAATTATTTAGAATGTTAGATATTCTTGAGCAAGAAGTCTATGAAGCATTCTTGATACTTGTCCTTCTCCTATCCAATTATGAAAAAGTTAAATTCCATAGTGCTTGTATTAAAAAAAATAAAGACCAATTAGTCACCAAATTTTTTTTGAAGTTTTGAAAATTAACCATTGTAATGAATCCATTCGACATGAAATTTTGTTTGTATATCAAAGCACTTATCAACGGCATCTTTGAAGGTAATCTCCTTACAATAGGCACACACTATAGCTCAATGGTCATTCTCAATATCCTCCATAGATTGAGTATCCTACACAACTAATTTCAAGTGCAAGCTATGTTGACAAATGAAAATATACAACAAAGACATCTATAGTATATACAAATCATGAGACAACACTTTCAGAATATCCTCATTATTGATATTATTATTGTGATTGCATTGGACAATAATAGATGCAATTCTATTGACGAGTCCAATAAACAAGGCCACTATGTTATGAACCACAATTTCAGCCTCAGCTTTGGGTAGTAAAGCTAGAAGGCTCATCATGAAGGTACCTTGATCTTAAATAAAAGCTTCATCATTCACGAGAATCATATACCAAGATTTTCAAATGTCAAGATTTGAGGTGTTATAAGCCATGGTCAAAGTCTCCACACTATGTAGACCTTGCACTTTGCACAAATCCACCAAGGATTGAATCAAGCCTTTGAGCTGAACTTTTTGTTGATTCAAAAGGATGCTTAGTCACTTGTAAGTATGACATGATAGTAGATATTACCTCCACAACGTTGTCATGTAGTATACAACTGTATGATAAAAAAAATTAAAATTAAAATATTATTATAGACCATAATAAAAAGATATATTTAAAAAAAAAACAAAGATAAAGAATAGGAAGGTAGTAAAAACTTAAATCTTAATACTATTTTTTAAATAGAAATGACTTCTATTTATTTTGTAGGGACATAAATGAATCAAATAAAAGTAAATGAGATAAGAATTTTTTAAAAAAGTTTAAGAATAGGTTGTAATAAAAATTATCTCAAAATATGAAGAATTGATATCCAAAGAAGACCGATTGTGAATTAGGATCAAAATCACACCTTAAGGCACAAAATCATGCACTTATGGTAACTCTAGGGTTCTTTTGTAAATCAAAGAGTAGGATTTGAGAGCAGACTAGGTTAAACTTCTTTGAATATTAATTTTGAAGGATTTGAGTTTGTAATGACTTTGTAAGAGCTTTGCAAAGTTAGGATTATTTTGGATGACTTTGGTTTTTGTGAAATAAAATAAGATTGATATTTTAGGCATTTTCCAAATTTTTGTAATAAATCTACAAGTAAAAATTTGTATGTTTGTGAATCTAATTGTGCTGAATGTGTGATAAATTTTAGCTCAATCAAACAGATATGTTGGAGGTTATTGAAGTTCAAGTCAAAGCCAACAAAGAGTGCAGACAAAGGACAAGAACCATCCTTCCACCATATGTCTGCGGGCAGACTATTCATCCGTCATACTTCGTGTGCATCTCTCCTGGATATTCCGATCTAGATATGTCAGTCCAAATTACCGTGTCTGTAACGAGGATCTGGTGGAGGATCTGGTGGAGGTGTATCAAATGTCAACGAACCCATGAGAAAACCTTGCATATCAAGGGTTCTGACTTGTTACATGAAGGCGTTTGGGAGCAGCCGCTTGCTTGACGAAGTTGACTTGGACACGAGTCAGCGAGTGTCGGCAAATAGTTGTATTCAATATATAGTGGGTTTCTTCCATGTGAGAGACCTGATAGGAGTATTGGTGACGGTTTGAAGCTGCATTGAGGACTGTATAGTGTAAGAAGCAGCGCGGAGGATATACCAATGGAAGGGGTCCTTTCCAAGGGGCGTTGTCTGATCCTGGCCCTTGCAATCGTGTTCTTTTCCTCAAGTTGGTTACTTGATGGGTTGGAGACCGTTAATCTTCAAGATTGTAAGCTTATTACTTCAAGGAATTAAGGACTAATCTATTTAATTGGAATTTTGGAGAAACTTTACCCTAATCAGTAGAATATCAGAGAGAAAGTATTCCAGTTTCTTATATTTTGTTTATTTTGTTGTCCTTTTTTGTGTTCACGTTTTGTACTAGTCTTGTGATCTGTGCAATTCACAACTTGTCCCAACAACAAGGCTAAGTCAATCTTGTAGGCATCTGTTTGCACTCCGGGATGTTGCCTCAGCATTGTAAGCACACAATTGAGCTCTTGTATGGCATGACAACTGAGTTTTGTAGTTCGCTACATTGACTTCCACGAAGATGATATTATAATTTAGAGTGGGAAACTAACAGGTTTGGGATTAGGGGAGCCCCTCTGCTCGAGAAGTCCTTGCCTGGAAGTGCTATCCAAATCTGATGTAGGAGGCGTAAACGTCATATATGTGAGCGATTGTCTTCAGTAGGTTTTGCTATAGTGCGGGGAATTGAAGGCAGTGTAACGGTTGCTGTGTGTACAGTAAGGTCTCTGCAGTCGCTGAAGCAGGCTTGGGGTAGTAGCACAGTGTTGTGGAGCGGTCCAGATCCTTGTGCTGACAAATGGGAGGGTATCTTATGTGAAGACAACCGAGTGGTATCCTTGTACGTGCCCTCCAACCTTGCCCATATATACATATATTTGTGTGTATATATATATATATATATATAATTATTATGAATGCTTTTAATACACTTTTCTTCTAACATGATATTTCTGTTCTTCCAAACCTAAGTTGGGTTCCTCTTCTTTACAACGATCTTGTGTAGGTATTTGGTGAATAAAGAGCTTAAAGGAACTATTCCTCCTGCAATTGGCGATCTGACAGCTCTTCAGAATCTGTAAGTGACGCTGTTTGGGGTTGCTGGCCTGGTTTTGTTAATACAGTGAGAATGCTTTTAGAAGCGGATGATATGTACTACGGCTAGAGCTTCACTTGCTTTGGACCATATATTGCGCCCGTTCAATCAGTTTGAAGCACAAATATTGAGTAGGGTGTACAGAGGGGGTTCAACGTCGTAAAATGTTGATCTTGTTTAACGGTTTTTGCATGCAGGGATCTCTCTTTCAACGGGAACTTGCAAGGGACGCTACCTGACGAGCTGGGCAAACTAACCAGCTTAGAATATCTGTAATTTGTGCGAGTGTTGGTATTCTTCTGCTGTGCTAATGCAGCTTATGCTCTAGCAGCAGACAAGCATGGAGTACCTATTCTGTCGTTGATTGTGTTGGCAATTCTAGCACCTCGTGTTCGTGTGTTTCATTTGAAGTGACCTTGCTGTGCTCCAGATCATTGGCTAATTTTGGTTCTGTTATTTTAACAGAAGTATACAGAGTTGTAATTTTTCAGGGAGTATTCCTTCCACATTGGGGACACTAGTGAACTTGACCTTCCTGTGAGTTCCAAGCAAACTCTCTGGACACGAGGTTTAACTCCATTTTGATATGTCCAGGCTGAGCTAGGCTCAATTATGTCTGATTCTCCTGTGAGAAAAATTGTGAATGAACTAAGAATTAGCCAATTCAACAGTTGTCAGAAAATTTGTGTAGCCTTTTGAGTTCCCGTCAAGAGCTGTTTAGGTATTTGCCAGTTGTCCTTGATGTCCAAGTTACGAAATCTAAAATTTTAGTGCATGTATTGCAACTCGCACCTCTAGCTTCTATCCGAAGTTGTATGCTTTTGTACAAATTGGACACTGAAGTGTATGGTTGTGTTTTGCAGCGCTCTGAACAACAACAACCTAGATGGAACCATTCCATCTTCAGTTGGTACGCTTTCGAAATTAAAGAGGTTTGACGTTGCTTACAACAAACTGACGGGTCCTCTGCCTGTATCAACAAACAATCCCGTTAAAATTGGCCTTGATACCTGGCCGGCTATTGAACACTAGTAAGACATTTCCACCTCTCCTGTCAGCTTTCTCTTCGATCAATTTTCCGCTATTAATTACACGGACTGTTGCTATGTACCCTAAATGCTATTGTAATAATAAAAACTTGAATTCAGGATGTTGAAGCTTACTAATCCAGCGAGTCACTGACTTGCAGCCATTGGAATGACAACCTTTTCACTGGCAACATTCCACCTGAACTTGGGAATGCCCGAAATTGTGTGCACATGTGAGTTCTTTCCACGTGGTGTCTTTTTTCTTCTGCCTTGTCTTGAATAAGCTTTTGTAGTTACTGATGTTTCTGATATGTTTCATGCTAATTCCTTCCCATTCTGCCCAAGCATTGCTTGTTTACATAGTAGGACGAGCCAGTCTTATGACACGTTGAACACCGGTATAAGACAAGATGGTCTTAAGTTTGTAACGTTGTTGAAGCATTTACGAAGGAATTGGACACATCTTCTTCGAATTGTGCAGGATACTGGAGTTCAATCGATTCACCGGACAAATTCCTGAAAGTTTTGAAAATCTTTCCTCCCTAAAGATCCTGTAAGCTATACGCTATTTTCAATGATGCATTGACTTTGCTGTGTGATATTTTTATCTTGACATTCTCCAATGAAGAGAATTTTCAACAATGCTTTCCGAACGAATATGATACCATGGTTGGTGTGACACTGCCATTGTCGTGCAGACAGGAGTAGCTTCTGGGTTATCATTATGTGCGGTTACCCTCATGTAGAATTTTTGAATAAATTGTTATTGAGCTTAGTTCGTCAGTCCTAAATCCGGTTTATGTCCGACAGGCTTGTTGGCAACAATCAGCTGACCAGTCCAATCCCCTCTACTTTGAACAACATCGTCACAAATGGCGCCAAAGGGTTGCTTCAACTGTGAGGCCTACTCTCTGTCCATGTGTTTTTTTCCGCTTTCATATACGTTTTACACATTCTTGACACCTCATGTTGGCATATGCACTGAGAGACTGCTGTTAGTTTTATGATCCAAGTTCTTACCGAATTTGGCTGTTTTTTTATGGTCGTAGAAACCTTGGTGTTGTTGATGATCTACCGTAGTTTTTGAAGAGAATTTACTTTGGGAAGGTAGTCTTGATGTGTTTATGGTGAAGTCAACAACCGATTTGCTTAGCTCATACTCTTTTCTTTGTGTTTCATGTTCTCGTCGTTAGTCGTGCGGCCAACAATCGGCTGACTGGGACTGTTCCAGTTTTGTCTGCTCTCAACCAGCTTCAGCTTATGTAAGAACAATCTTCCATACGCTTGAAACATTTTTCTATTTTTATCACTGTGCTTTAAAATCTCATGCAGTTTGTTGTCAGTGAGGGTTGCCATTTTCACCCGAAGTATATGTGTTTCTTCGCCATCTCCACATTCCTTGACATGAAGTTAAAATCAGAATAAAGTGACATTGATGTTTGTTTTCGTTGACTTGACAATTGCAAGTTTCGTCAACTTGTGTCTAACAGTGACGTCAGCAACAACAGTTTCGATCCACAGCCTTCCCTTCATGGTTGAATGCGTCCGCCAGTCGCTTACAAACAATGTGAGACATACCAACACCTTGATACCCAATAACAGGCTTTCCTTTATAAAATCTTTCCGAACGGATGCTGTTATAGATCTGTTGCGTCCAGTATCCTTGTGTGTCAAGCTATTTGGTGTAGTTGCAATTGTTCAAGCTACCGGTTGAGTGCTAGTTCGCATGTGTGATCAAGCTTAGGCTATTGTTGTGGGTTGTTTTTTTTTTTAAAATAAATTATTCCATGTATCCCTCTGTGACATTATTTTATTTTATTAAATTTAATTATGGTGATTACAGGCGATTCGAAAATGCTAATCTGACTGGGCCACTGCCTGCTGATATTTTGACCTACTCGGCACTCCAGGGACTGTAAGTTACCTAAACATTCCACAGAACGTCCAGATTTCTTTAGAGATCATTTATGAGTGCACGTTGAGTCATTCAAACCAGAGAATGATTTATTGCTTTCTGTTTTTTCGAGCAGGTACCTTCAAAATAATGAAATAGACGGGACCCTAACAATCCCAGAGATTTTGGGGTTGAATTTGCGATATGTCTCTCTCCAGAACAACAATATCACAGGCTTAGTCCAACCTGACCCCTATTCTGCAGAATCTGTCCTTGTTATGTGAGTTATCTATTCTCAACTGTGCACATTATTTAAACCGACATGTCGTGGCAGAAGAATTCTCAGCTGAAAAAACAATACAACTTACTGGTGTGCTCTCACATATTGGATTGTGTTCGTATTGAAATGAATGTTTTGTGTTTCTGTAGGTTGCAAGGTAATCCATTGTGCACATTTACTGGAGGTTTTGTGAATATAAGTCCTGAATTATGTAACACAACTAAGCCTACGATGGAACGCGCATGGGTATCCCCTATGGTAAGCAAGAACACTTGCCAGAACATGATTTGCGGCAACAGGTTTTACTTGAACCCCTTGCAGTGTCGTTGTAGCAAACCGCTTGTGGTAACGCTTGAGGTGCGATCGCCATCCTTCACAAATATCAATGACCCACCTTTGTGGGACTCCTTCAAGAATCAAACAGTTACGTCGCTAAAGACTCTCACCCAACATGAGACCCCTCCATTGCAATTTGAGAGTGAGCAGCTCTGGATCCGCGATGCATCCTTAATGGCAATGTGCTAAGGGTTGCGGTTAGATTGTTCTTCTTCCCTTTGGTTGGAGAATTCATGGACCAGGTTACTGAGGATTTTATCACGAGAAGCTTCACTCTTCAGAAAATGACATTTAACCCTCCTTTCAAACCTGGACTCGTTCAAGATATCCAAGGCTCTGGAGGTACCTTCTAGATTGCCATGGAGCATGCGGTTGAGGGTTGTGGATTGAGATTTCTAACTGTATGGATGGCTTCTGTGAGTTGTGTTTGTGAAAGTTGTCGCCAAGATGCTGACCGATCAATGTAACATGTTGCAGAGGTAACTCAAACAGTCTCGTCTGGCCTATCGACAGGTGGCAAAATTGACATTGCTGCTGCTGTTGCCGTCTTTGTCTCCCTTTCTTTGGTAGTTGGGGATAGGTATGTCTGTAAAAACAATCGGGGAATATCTTGTCATGAGGTGTGTAATTGCTGTTCTTAGACGTGAAAAATCTCTCCGCAATCTTCACCCCAACTAATAGACGCAAGCGCAGCTAATTGAGAATTTTAGGAGAGCAACCAGAAGGATGTACACTTCCTACTTTTTGTTTTTTATATTGATATCTATCACGTTGTGACGTATAAATCATTTGAATTCCTCTGCTTTTTCTGGAATTTTTGACATGTGTAAACTACATAATCTTCCTAGCTTTTAAAGTTAAGAACAAACATCACGATAAACAAACTCCAGGTTTGAACTGAAAACTTTAAGAAAATTTTTCTCACTTAAATGCTATGCGAAGTTGGTACAGCCTTGCAACAAAACTCATGATCTGAAATTGGAAAAAAGGAGGCCTGCGTTGAAAAGTGAGAAGGGATTAGGAAAAGGAAGAGAAAGTCGGAGAGTAGAAAAAATGTCAGCGAATGTGAACGTGAACATGCATGCAAGAGGCGATTTCACACCACAGAATCTACAAGTTCAGAAGGGGTTCTAGCTTGAGTGTTCGGCGGACTAAGAAGACGGGGAGAAAGGATCGCTAAGTCAGTTATTGAATCCGACGAATCGTATCTACTGCATCTGTTTTTGACGGTGCATGCAGTGAGAAAGTAACCGCCGACGAAGCAGGAATCATCCTAGTCACAGTGGATACGTCACAAGGTTCATCAAAAGGTGTGCAGTCGAGCTTGTCACCGCAGTTTTTGCCGAGAGAGGGATTCCTAGGTGTCCTTTGACGCCTCCTGTGAGGACGAATCTGATATATCTACGTGTAGAGGTTAGAGACGATCGCGGATGCTGTTCTTGTTGCCGCACACGTGGCCTAAAGAATAAATCAATGTCTGCAGCTGCATCGGAATTTCACAGCTCTTCTTCGCCTAATCCAGTTTATCTACGCGTCGCGAACCTTCGCTTGACTCGAATCGGGAGTGAAGATTCAGATTCAATTCAAGATCGTGGCCGGGAGCTGCGGATGGATCCAGATGCAGTATCTGTACTTCTTTGTACTCTTCGAGAATTTGTTTATTGTCGTGAGAAGGTTTGTTTAATACGCTGTTCTTTTGTTGTTAACTTTACATGCGTAGAGTTTTCAGTCTTCTTTTTATCTATTTCTGTTATTTACCCCAATATTTTCAAAATAATTTCCTATAAATCCGGGGAAAGGTGTGTGAGGTGGCGTTTGGTGATAAGCGTGAGAAGATGCTTGAATTTCGACGAAGGCAGTTAGAATGAAGGTTCATCGCGGAGCTATAAGGCCCTCATGGAGGACTGAAGGTATCAGATTGTGATTATTGAGGGGACTAGATGTTCAATGGATCTTCACTGCGATCGAAGTCAAGATACGGTACTGTGCTGGTGGAGTACATTGCTTGGGGACGCGTTTTGTCGTGAGTTTGCTGCTTTAGCAGCTTGCGTAATCTTGAATTCCTCAGCTTCAGATATTTTAACTGAACTATCACGTACGGCCTCGTTGTATCTCAGGGGTTTCTGTACACTTTTAAGGGACCGCGACGCTGTGGTCAGCTGCTATCACTGGCGCATGAACATATGCAGATTTGATAGGAAATGATCTTATCAAGGAAACATGAGAGTTGGGGGTATAGTCGCACGATCTGAATAGATCTGTTCCATGTAACAGAAGAAGAGATTTAGAGGGAGTTTGAGGCGCATCGGAGGCTTTTGCATCGAGTGATATTGGATACCTTGAATGTTGGCCATTTCCATGCGGAATGATGCTTTGAAAAATTGAATGTGGAGGGGTTACAGTCGCGGTGGAGTTTCGAAGTAGAGCGGGGTTGGAAGGTGTAATTAGTAGAAGTTTTTTCGGAATTCGTTTCGGCTTCCAAGGTACAGCGAGTGTTAGGTCGATATACTTGATTACTAGTGTATTTCGTCGACCCAAAGCACATTCACTGTTTATTATAGCCTACAGGATTGGTGCCAAGTTATTTGAAAAATTTATGAGCGTCTTCGGATCTGTAAATAGTCATGGTGAAGTTTGCGAGGCAACTGGAATTATCGCTTATACCTGAATGGAAAGATGCCTACGTTAATTACAAAGCCCTCAAAAGGGACGTGCAAAGAGTCAAGGAAAATCGTGCGCAGAGAAATATTCATAGGTGTAACGAGTCCATGGCGGGTACTGGAGCGATCAGTCGAACGTTGACACGCATGTCCACTTTTAAGCACAATGTCGAAAACCAAGTCAAGGGTAAGGGTGCCAGCGGCAGGCTGTCATTCCGCCACGGCGGAGCAGAGCCTTTGCGGCCCGAGGATTTTCTTGTGGTATGGTAGCCTTCTCGATTTCCATGATGTGAATCCTCGAGTCTTGTATTTGAATTGAGCATGAGTTGTCCTTATTCAGGTTCTAATCATACAGAGGAATGTGTGCTCATAGAAGACTTTCAGAAAATTTGGATAGAATGTAAAGTCGGAATCATGGACTGAATGGGTGATCTGTTTGGTTGAATGTCCATGAATTATTTAAGCCAGATTCTGTCAGGCATATTGCGTATATTCATATTGACAATTAGAGGCTCTGGCTTGAGGACATCACAAAGAGGTTTAATGCAGCGCCTTGACGAATGACGATGTCGAGGAATCTAAATTGAGGAATCTAAATACACGACAGGTGCACAGAATACAAGAAAATGAGGGCGGGCACTCTCAATTTGAACAATACCAGACGGAGTTGTTGAATCCTCTTCAGCCTGACGAGCCAGACATTCAGTTTTTCACGCGATTGGATGCGCAATTGAATAAGGTGAACCTCTTCTACAAAAAAAAAGAGGCACAATATATTGCCCGCGCTAAGCGCCTGGAGCAGCAGCTATTGACCTTATTCCAAGTTCGGGAAGAACATGAGCGGCAAAGGCAAAGGCTAGGACCCAAAGCAAAGGATCAAGACAAAGATGATGAGGAAGAAGACCATGACGACGAAGAGTTGGTAGATAGTACTGGTGTGTACAACTGACAATCCCTTGTTGGTACCGGAAAAATTACAGAATCTTCTATTCCGCTTGCCTTGCCTTTGTGGATTATTTCTCACTAAGAAATCATAACCTACAAGTTGATGTTTGAGTGTGAAACCCAATGTTAACATATAGTACGTGCCATCTTATCCGAATTTTAGTCTGAAATTTCGACGCCTTGACAAGCTTCATTGTTCTGGTATTGGTACTAAATTGCTAACAGATTTGACGTAAAAATACTTGAGATTTATCAAAGTCATGTAAAATAGTTTTGTCAACTGAGAATCCATGTGTCGAGCAGATAGTAATAATGAAGTTCTGTGAGGATTTTTCTCAGATTAAAGAGAATAAATCTGGTGATGAAAAGTCCATGAGTGTGGACGACAAAAACAGGGAGCGATCCACTAATCGAAAGATGGTGTTTTTTAATGTAGAATCGGAAGGGACCAAGGAAACGGATGCGGGATTAGCTGCCATCGCCGGTCCGAATTCTCAGAAAAGCTTCGACTCGTCAGAAATGTTTCGCAATGCCCCCTATAAACCTGAGCATCGCAGGTCTGGCTATTTCAACCAAGCAGTAAACTGTGATTGGAGTCCGTTTCGCTCTGTTATGAACCACACGGCGGATTTCAATTCTCGCTCGCAGCCGGATGTAAAGCTGACTATCCATAAGGATGAGGGTGAGGACGAGGAATCCGCTCAACGCTCCAAATTTAGTTATCTCTTTAAGGAGCCGAAGACTGTCATCCAGGATATGATTGACTTGAGCCTCAGCAAGAAGAAGATTGCAACTTCTGAGAAAATGCTTCGTAAAGCTTTTGTTGAGTTTTATCGGGGGCTAAACCTTCTCAAAAGCTACAGGTAAGGTCACATTTGGTTTCTTACCCAACTCCTCTGCCATGTGGACCGCTCATCTTATGAACTTGACGCTAAAAACCCGCAGATTTCATTTCATTAAGGACAATGCTCTGCTCGAGGTCTTTTTCTGTGAGCACTTTTTCAGTTTGAAGATACTGAGTAATCACAGACGTGTTTTTTCACGTAATGAATGTGTTCAGCTCCTTGAATCTGGTAGCTTTCGCTAAAATTATGAAGAAATACGACAAGGCAGTGAAGCAAAGGCTAGGCTCTGTGTACCTAAAAGAGGTTGAGCGGTCCTATTTTATTACTTCCAACAAGGTGAAATATATTTTCCTGGTGCAATTTCGTATCATGCGTGACAGGTAGTGGAATTGCATGTATGTATGTTCTGTTCTCGCACGTAGGAGTCTAGGGGTTGATACTACATTAGTTTCAGAACTGTGTTACTCCAAGACATTATTATTCTTCGCTGAGCAATTTGTTCAATTGTCGTCGTGAACACAACAGTAAATAACTTATGCTTACTGACTCAACTTTCTATTAAAACTTGCAGATATCTAAAATAATGGTTAGAGTTGAGGATATCTTTACTCAATCCTTTTCGTCACAAGATCGTCAAAAAGCCATGGCCCAATTAAGGCCTCAGCGACAACATTCTGAGCATACGACTACATTCTTTTTCGGTATGGTATAAATGTTTGTATAAGTACCTGTAAAGTTGATATGAAATAGCTCCCATCCAGAAGCTCATGCGTGCGTTCTTTTAAAACCTCCAACATTGACCGATCTATGACTACTGCACACTCACTGTTGGAAGGTGAACGCAATTTTTTTCAATAGAACGATGTGGAGTGGATTTGAGCTTTGTAGGATGAAATGAATACAAGCTGGGCGAGTCAGGGTTTTGCACACCTTCAGCTGAATGTGATTGTTGCTGCAGGTTTATTTTCTGGCATTTCTATGTTATTACTGGCCGTGTTTATTGTAATGCTACGCGCTTCTCCGAGAGTCGGACGTCTGGGAGACGTTAGATATATGAACACCGTTTTTTATGTGTTCAGGTACAGTACCTAGCCTCAGTCTTATAAGTAAGTGACTAACCAGTGAAGAATTCTATACGATTATTAACTGACTTTCATTATTCATGATCGTCAGCTCTCTTGCCCTGGTGCTGCTACATTTGTACCTGTACGGTTGGAATCTTTACACTTGGCGGCAAACTCGCATCAACTATCCTTTTATTTTTGAGTTTAAACCGGGCACAGAGCTGGGATACAGGCAGGTTTTATGCGTTGCCAGTGGCTTTACAAGCTTGTTACTGGCAGCCATGAACTCCCACTTGTATATTAGTACGAAAAGGGCACCTCGGTTCAAAGTATCTGAAATCATTCCATTGGCTGCAGTGTTGGTATGCGTTCTTTCTGGCAACATCAAATCACCGCAAATTGCATATTCTTTGTTAGTTTTCTGAACGTTGAATGAAATTTTTGTTCATCGTTTCACTTTTTATGCAAGCCTACTTAATCTTGCCGGATATTTGTGTTGGTGCTGTGCAGATATTTGTTACAGCTATTTTTGCACCTGTCAACTTACTGTATAGGTCTGCACGGAGATTTTTCATCCGATGCTTTCAACATCTCATTCTTGCACCTTTTCGTAGGGTACAGAATTCTTTAATTCCATCATACTGTTAAGATGATTACTGCGAAAACTTAATAAGACGGGTTTATATTGTTCATTTGCAAACAAAGATATGTCGTGTACGATGGAGTAGGGATATTATCTGAGCTTGCTATGATCTGGAAGATCTGTATATCTAATTTATCTTTTGGTTGTCTTCAATTTTCTTATTTCTTTTTCACCACTCACATTGCAGTTAACGAGAACTAATTAGGATTCATTTTCCTCTTTACTGTGCCAGGTTGTATTGGCCGATTTTTTCTTGGGAGATCAACTGACAAGCCAAGTCTTTTTGTTTCGAAATATTCAGTTCATGTTGTGTTATTATTCGAGTAGTTCTTTCCTCGATCGAGTGAATGACAGATGCGACACCAAAAATCCCTTCAGTCAGTTAGTATATGTTTTCTCTATGATGCCTTACTGGTGGCGTTTTCTACAGGTGAGATGCCAGACTGGAGTGTGATCTTGATTTGGTAATTGTACTTTGTTTTTTTGTTTCTTTTTAATTATTATTAAGGACCAGGAAAGCACAGATCAAAAAGATCATAATAGTACTTGGCCTTATGCAGTGCTTGAGAAGATACCGAGACGAGGAAGACACAGATCAGCTGTGGAATGCTGGCAAGTACGCCTCCGCATTAATAGCTGTTCTGGTCAAAACTCGATACGTGCAGAGAGGAACCGCAATTTGGTTGGTTTTGTTCATACTCTTTTCATGTATTGCCATGCTTTACCAGCTCTACTGGGACCTTGTAATTGATTGGGGGCTACTTCAACCTCATTCCCAGAACCCTTGGCTTCGCGACCAGGTCATCTTGAAGAAGAAGTATCTCTACTTTCTTTCTATGGTAAAATGTTTTTACGGACTTCTGTGTTCTTCCCAAGTGCACCTTCTGCTGCAGAATCTGTAATCTAATCTATATTATTAGAGAAGAAATCCTTGTTAAATGTTAGAACCTGAAACATGTGCAGATTGTGAATGCGGTGCTGAGAGTAGCCTGGCTCTCCTCAATTCAAGGGTTTCATCGAGCCATCCCTGGGATTGGAAAACCTGGTTGGGACGCTATGTTTGCTGCTTTGGAAGTGATTCGACGGGGTCATTGGAACTTCTATAGGTATACATGAGGCAATTATTGCAGTGATAATCTTAGCTTGTCTTTGTTGGTCATTACATGCAAGGGTATTCTGGTGCTCTAGTAGCGAAGTTGTTGATACATATATTATACCATGCACGGTGAGCTACTTATATCGTGTACTCATCAAGGACTTCAGCGTTAATGTGGCCAACAATTTTGTTCTGTGATTGGTTCATGTAGACTGGAGAACGAACATCTGAACAACGTCGGAAAATACAGGGCTGTCAAAAGTGTTCCACTTCCCTTCGACGAGTCTGATGGTGGAACCGTTTTATGATAATGCTCTTTCCTCCTGCAAAGCGAGGGTCCCTTGGCTCTGCACTATTAGCTGCTCATGCCTTCTGCATTGGTCTAATGATTGTTTTTACTAGATGCCACAGTGACTCAAATTTCTGTCCAAATCGTAAGGGTATGCAATGTTCATTTTTGAAATCCCAACAATTTGGAAACCTTATCCCCGATGCGTACACCGCACCAAGCTCATGCGGTGGTCAATGATAAAGCCCTCGCACGGTTGGTCGTCAATTCAATTCGAAGCTCGTGATGGTAATCCACTTTTCTAAAGTGCCACTTTGATTGCTTCATAACACAATCACCTTGTCTACCACCAAGAGATGTATAATCTGCCCCATTAATCCAATCCATTCGTATTCATTACGTCATTCTCAGCTTTTTGTTCAGGATAATGGAGGAAGAGGAGTTTATATGAAGTGAACAGAAAATCAACCACATTTGATGCCATAACTCTGTTCATAAATTCACTTTTAGGAACTTGGCTTTAACCTTTGGGCAAATATAAAACATTTTTATGATTTAAAATTCTTACTAATGTCTGCTACAAAGCCTACTACTTTTTATCATTGTTTACATAATCAAAATGTATTTCTGATAAGATCAAAAAACAAAAAAAAATAAATAAATAAAAATCAAATCAAGACTAATAGAAAATTCTAATAATCTCATAGTTGAAATAAGAAATTAGAATTGAATATTATTTTGAGCAATTTGATTGGACATTTTTTTACTTTAATTGTTTGAAAGTTTACTTCTTCATCTAGTAGATGTTATGTATTTCATCAGGTGATTTTGAAATGCCAACATGAAAAATATTCAAAATACATGGCTTAAAAAGTCATGGATTTATTTAAAAGTTTATTTTTTTTGGACGAAAACTAAAACAATTGTATAACTTTAATTAGTTTATTTAAAGTAGAAAAGTAGTATACAGAACTTCTAGACTACATACAATAAATTTTAGACCCAAGTAAGTTGTTATCAATATAGAAGCAATAGCTTAAATTCATTGATATATATTCTATTTTTATCTATTTATATATATATTTTGGCTTTTTTGTATATAAGGTATTTTTTGTATTAAATTGCTAACAAAAAGATAAGAGAGACAAGAAAGGAATATAATTATTGTTTAATTTCTAAAAATATTGTAGTACCTTTTTTATTAAAAATATTAAATATAACATTAATTAAAATAAATATTTATAAACTTTTAAATTATAAATAGATTTTTATTTTATTAATAAATTTTTATATTATAAACATGTATTTGATTCAATTAAAATTAATAGTATTGAATCTTATCATAAGATATCAAAAAGATAATTCATCAAATTTTCAAGTTGATTATTACAAGTTGAAGACTAAATAGGTTGGTGTTAAGAACAAGAAATCAAAGAATATATATGAAGAAGTGAAATATTTATTAAAGAGGGATGAAAAAATAGAAATAAAAAAATAAATATATTGAAGAAGAAATTGGAATGGCTATTGCCAAAGACTAAAAATCTAGAGACTTTTGAAATTAAACTTGAGGCAAGAATAGAATTAAAAAGAGTGAAGAAGGCTTCTACATATATTATCTAATTAGGAGCTATGTCACAACTCTCTACAGCACCTCCAACATGTATTCACCTTGTATAACATGTGTCTAACTTACAAGAAAAGTTTCTTGTATGTTCACCTCATGGATAGCTTATATTACAAGCTATCAACCTATGCAATATGTGGCCAACTTGTTGGCCAAGTTTCACCCAACCAATCACCTATAGACACATTTAAAGATAAAATCATGTCTATAAAGCTTCAATTTTGTAAGTTATTCATGCTTTTTTTCAAAGAAATTGCTGATTTTTTTTAAAATAATTAGCATAGATATTAGAAAAATTCTAAGCATCTCTTTTAAATATTTTTTTATTTTTATATTTAATTTTCTATTGAAATTATTTATGAATATTATTTATCCTATTTTTTATAAAATCAAGTATAATATTATTATTTTCGTATTAAACCACCTTATTTTTTGAGATTGTATGCTACTATTTTATAGATTGGTATTAGAATTTTTTGATAGAATTTATTTTTATTAGAACTAAAAAGAAAGATTAATATAATTATAGATACTTATATTTTTGATTGTGACAACAAAAGCACAACTATTTGTATGCTATTGTATTGATGACTTTGTATAATACATAGTATTTTTTTGAATTCTTTGCTTTTTAAGATTATACAAGAAATTCAAAAGTACATAATTTAGATGCTCAATTTTTCATATTTCATCTATAGCAAGGACTTACTAAAGCATATTTTAATATATCTCATAATTTTTTTCATATATACAACTTATTTGAGCCTTATAATTTTTATGTTTTTCTTAATGTAATAATTATAAAATAAAACATTGTGTGTTATATTATCACAAATGGGAACAGATGATAAACTTCACCCAGTAGCTTTTCATTCTAGAAAATTTTCAACAGCTGAGATTAACTATAAAATCCACGACAAAAAGCTTCTTACAATCATGGATTCATTTCAAGAATGGCATCATCATCTAGAAGGCACTTCTAATCCAGTCACCATATATACAAATCACAAGAATCTTTAGTATTTTATATCAACACATATTTTAAATTGTCGCCAAGCCCATTGGAGCATGTCCTTGTCAAGATTTGATTTCAAGATCATATATCGACCCCAAAAAACAACAAGGTTTATCAAACGCTCTTTCTAGACATTTTTATCTTATACCAAAAGAAAGAGATGCATCTTTTGATTAGCAAAGAATAATTCTGTTGAAGCTAGAGTATTTTCATCTTTGAGTAATGAAATCAATGTTGACTATTGATTTGACCCTTGTAACACAAATCCAATCAAGTATGTCTTCTGATCCTCTTGTTTACAATATCAAGAATCTTTCTTCTAAGTCCCAAGGTACTTCTAAGTTTGAGTTCAAAAACACCCTACTCTATTTTGAATGTCGATTATATGTTTCAAAAAGAAAAATACAATTATGTATTCTTCAAGCACATCACGACTTTCTAGCAGCAAGACATTTTGGATACAACAAGACTTTAGAGCTTGTATCTAGAGATTTTTAGTAGCCACAAATGTAAAAGGGTGTGAAAGACTTTCTTTAGTCATGTGATGTTTGTTCAAGATCAAAAATTCCTCGTTATCGACCTTATGGACTTCTTCAACTATTATCTATTCCAGAACAACCATGGTCTTTTGTTTCTATAGATTTCATTACAAATCTTTCAATCTCAGTTGCTTATGACTCTATATTCATGATAGTAGATCATTTTACCAAGATGGAACATTTTGTACCATGTACAAAATCTATCACATGTGAAGAAATAGCTAAGCTCTTTCTTGACAATATCTATTACTATCATGGATTATCCAAAGATATTATATCGAATAGAAGAACTCAGTTTGTATCAAGATTTTAGCGGACTCTTTTTAAGATTTTAAAAGTAGATATAAAACTATCTTTGGCATTCCATCCTTGAACTGATGGACAAATTGAGGGTGTTAATTAAGTTTTGGAACAGTATTTAAGATGTACCATCAACTACCAACAGGATGATTGGACAAATCTTTCACTATTGGCAAAGTTTACTTATAATAACATAGTACATTCTTCTACAAAATAAACACCTTTCTTTGTCAATTATGGTTATCATCCAAGACTTGATACTTTTGATTTTTCATAAGCTGATAATCCTATAGTGAAAGATTTGATAAATCATTTATCGGAGCTACATATAATAATGAAGGCATAGTTAAAAGAAGCTCAAGAACAATAAAAGATCAATGCAGATGTCTATCAAAAGGAACAAATATCATTCCACACGGGTGATAAGGTATGATTACTTCATTGCAATATCAAGACCACTCATCCTTGTGACAAGTTGGACCATCGTAGACTTGAACCATTTCCTATTTCTGTACAAATCAATCTAGTTACATATTGATTACACCTACCAGAGTCAATGAAAATTCATCCAATATTCCACGTATCTCTTCTTGAACAATACAAGATAGTGGACATACCAAGAAAAAGACAAGCTCCACCTCCTCATGTAGAAGTAGATAATAATAAAGAGTTTGAAGTGGAAAAAGTCTTAGATTCAAAGCGATGCCAAAATAAATTTGAATAACTTGTCTATTGGTGCAAATATGATATTAGTGAACACACATGGAAGCCAATAAAGAATCTTACAAATACAACAAAGACGATGGAGGCTTTTCATCGACAACATCTATCAAAATTAAGATGAAAACATATCAAGGACAAAAATATGATAAAAATAAATAAAAAAGTGAGACTTCTCTCAAAAAAAGATGACAAAATAGAAATAAGTTGATATATATATATTAAAAAAGTAATTGGAATGGCTATTGCCAAAAGCCAAGAAAACTAAAGACCCTTGAAACTAGACTAGAAGCAAGAAAAGAGTTGACAAGAGTGAAGAAGGCTTCACTCTTGTCTCTATATATATTATCTAACTAGGGGCTACATGGCGATGTTCTATAGGACCTCCAATATGTGTTGACTTTGTAGAATACATGCCTTGACTTATAAGATAAGTTTTTTTACGTGTGGACTACATAGTTAGCTTGGTCTTCAAACTAACATGTGTCGCACATGAACAACTTGTTGACCACGATTCTAATCCAAGAAGTCAATTAAAGACACCAATAAAGTCAAAAGAGGATCTATGAGGCTTCTAGAAAGCTTTCATAGCAAATATTATAGAATTAACTTATTTCTACCTATTTATACATGTAATTATTGGCTTACATGCGTATGTCTATGATATTACCTGGTCTTTTAATGACAAGTTCTACGAGGAGCAGTCATCATATGTTGAGGAAATCTACGATGCGACAAATTATTTTTGCGACATTCTCTGATCTTTGTTCTCTTCAAAGATGATTGATAGGGCCTCACAACCATCGATAGTATCCCATACCAAGGTGGAAAGACCACCTAGTTATTTGATCATTATTGAGGCCTTCATGACTTCTTTCGAATAAAATATTTGGAACACCGTCAGGAGTTGTTCTTACCTCTAATGAAATCACCAAACATTGACAGTTTCTTTTAAGGTCGTGATAGCAAACATGTTGTATCTTGCCATCTATTAAAAAAATAATATGTCATTCTTGAGGATCTTCATCTCGATTGCATCATCTTCAAGGTTGTGACAATTGTAATGTCTTATATGACAGGTCAGCAAATGAAGGCTCTTGAATCAAATCTGTTGGTTGTTGGTTCTCCATCTCCTCAATGTCACAACTACAAACAAGCTACAAACAAGAATTGAAAGTATAATATTATCTAACTTAGATCTTG